ATACAAAGTTTCAATTATAGAAGATAAATCTCAAGAAAAACCTGGAAAGAAGCTGGAAAGAGCGGGAGGGTTACTCCCAGTGGCAGCAGAAGCCAAGTTTTCCACCTGCACTGGCCGTGACTTAGGCCTCCACTCCAGGCTACAAAGTTTCAATTGCAGAAGATAAATATATCCCAGATACCAGGGCCTCTGCTTGGGTTGCCAGGGGACATGGCCAGCCTGCAAACCACCACAGGCCCCTCACCCAGGCCACCCCACACCCTAAGGGAACCCCTACCCTAATCCAGGACACCCTTCAGGGCAAACCAGCTGACCCCCACCTGTGCACCAGGCCTCTATCCTATCTAATAAAAGTAATATGCAGACTGACCATCATTCCAACACATAAGATCAAAATAGTTGCCCCCTTGTGGTCAAAGATCTTGCCCATAAGATGGCCACCACAAGATGGCCAGTTGGGAGGGACCAGGCCTGCAAGGGAGGACAGCTGGGGGCAATCAAGCCTGCAGGGAGGGCAGTTAGGGGTGACCAGGCCGACAGAAGAGGGAAGTTGGGGGCAAACAGGCTGGTAGGGGAGCAGTTAGATATCAATCAGGCTGGCAGGGCAGTGGTTAGGGAGTGATCAGTCTGGCAGGCTGAAGTGGTTAGAGGCAATCAGGAAGGCAGGCAGGTAAGCAGTTGGGAGCCAGCAGTCCTGGATTGTGAGAGGGATCCCAGATAAGAGAGGGTCATTATGACGCTCACTGCGGCCAGTCAATTAGCCTGATCATGAATGGGGCTGGCTGGCCAACTGCCCACAGCCCCTTCCCCCAGCCTGCCCTGCCTCTGATCGAGCCCTCTTACACTGAATTCCCTCCCCTGCGCCGGCCTGGCTCCAATTGGCCCCTATCATGCACAAATTCATGCACTGGGCCTCTAGTGTGGAATATCAAACTGAAACTTAGGAACACAAACAGCAGTGTGGTGGTTACCAGAGGGAGGGTGTGAGGGAAGAAAGGGGTCTTAATGTAAGATGGCAGGAGAAGATTTGCCTTTGGGTGGTGGGCACATGGTCCTATATACAGATTTTATAAATTAATAATGCACACATGAAACCTATATGTTCATGTTGACTAATGTCACCCCAATAAAATAAAAAATAAAAATAAAAAAGGAAAGCATGCGGATTTGTATATTTGAATGAGGACAGGGCAGAGTGCAACCTTACAGAACATTTCTAGGAAAAATAATAATAATAAAAAAACAATCACAAAACATTTTCGGTAGGATGACACAGAAAGAGATCTATAGGTGCACAATGTATATTCAGGCCAATGAAGATTTGTATGCACAAATTTGAGCCAATTCCATAACCTCTCTGGGGCTCAGTATTTTCATGAAAAACACCGGGATGGGATTGGGATAGACTGGAAGAGCCGCTAACATTCTATGACACTGTGATGTGAGGAGCTCATGAAGGCCCCGCCCCCACATCTTTCTCTCATCAGCTGGGAACTCTATCACCAGGAATTTGTTTCTTAGTTCTTCTAGTGACTGTTTCTAAAATTACTACTCAAGGGGAGACATTCTGATGAGAGGAAGAGAAAATTTTCTATATACCTTTAAGAACAGTGAAGAGAGGCTGTGTCTCCTGTTGCTAATAAAGTAATTGAAAGGTAGTGGTGGCAACAACAAAGACAAGAACGGTTGAATTCAGTTTTGAGGACCTCATAAACTTCCTCCTTTCTGATACCAGCAACCAGACAATTAATCACATCTCCCCTCTTACCGTGAACACAAGGAAGCTTAGAGCAAACTCAAGTTCAGTCATAGCCACTGTGCTAAACTTTACAGTTCACATATTTGTATTTTCTCTGTCTTAATTTTACTATTTCTAGTTTAGCAAAAGTCTTTTGTTATGAGCCAGCTGAAATCTTTTATGACAAAAAAAAATAGAATCAACACAAATATACACATTTGAATTTTTTCTCTAATTGTGGTGATAGAAACAGAAGTATAATATTAAATATGCATATACACTTCCCTCTTGATTATTTATCTCAAGAATTTAACGTAATTTTGGCACTGGTAAGGGAGATACTAGTAAAGATGTAAATGGTCAGAACAGTTGGTAAAATCAGCATGACTTGGGACAAATGAAAGAAAACAGGAATTGCAACAATATTTGTACCGTCTTTATTTGTAAAAATAACCATCTGAATGCATTTCCATAGTATATTACAGTTAAGTACTTCATTACATTATTAGCATTCAGTAGTTGAAAAAGTATTAAACTGTGCTTGAGAAGATTCAGATTGGTTCAAAGTCATTCACTGAACTCAAAGTCATTTTCCTCATTTTTACAGTCATGGCATTTATCAGAGTCATTCAACCCCAATTTACATAAGAAAACATTACAGACAAAGTCCCACTGAAATCATCAAACAATATTTTATGCTGTTACAAATATATTATGCAAAATAGAACACTGGCACCAGATTTGTATCATCGTGCTTCGCAAAGATATATTGCACATGCTAAAGCATAAAACATGTAGACAGACTACCAACCGGAACACGTTTGCATTGAGCGTTTAGAACACTGCATCAGAAACTCGTAGAATCACGTTGTGTACACACACTCCGATTGTCACGACCTTGGAACGCTTTTCCCCTAGAACACTGACCTATGGTTTACGGTTTGGTAAGAAGGTAAGCATTTTTAGCACTGCAAAAATCAAACAGAACTTCCAAAAGAACACTTCGGCTTTCCCATGTCCATTTCAAAGCAGGGAAAAGGGGAACTAGGAAAAAATAAAGACACTTTGTACAGTCAAAGAAAGGCTGAAAGGAAAACTCATTGGTCTTATATTGCTCTGATAACACTCAAGTGAAAAAAAAAATTCACAGAACGTTTTCAGGATATACAGATATAAAAAGGCACTCTACCTTCATAGTATAAGACAAGAGAAAAAAGAGGGATGAGTTCTTCGACCAACATGACAGACAAGCAAACCGAGTGGCTCAACAGTACAAAAAGCATGACTAGTGCAGCGAATCCATTTGCTGTTCTTGTTCTAATTTAATAACAAAATAATAAGTCAAGCAGCTGTTTACTGCCTAAAGTACCAAAACATACTACGGTGCCCTTTTAGTAGTGATACATAGAAATCCCCTGAGCTATTTACTGTGGAATCGTAGCAGATTTTAGGCAATATGGAGATAGTAATGTATTTACCAAGGACAGGCAGACACTGGCGAACAGGTTAAGTGCAATGAAACTTGATCCCTGTGGCTGTGGTTAATGTCGGGGCTAAAAAGAACACATGTAGGTAAAAAGCACTAACCAGCTACGACTCAATGAGAAGCACAATGTTTTCTGTTCTGTTTTTTCTTAGAAAGCTATGCTGCAAATCTAATTTTATCTCTAAGAGATGTACTTGACAAATACAGAACTCAGAGTTTTTAAAAGTCATTTCTCAAAGGAAAAAGAATTGGCCGGGGAGGGGAGAGGAGAGGAGGGAGCAGGAGGAGAGATGGATTCAATGAACAGTTCAGAGTAAGCATGACTTCATATTGCTTCTTTGTCCTCCTTCGCTCTGTGAGGAAGGGGTGGGGGGCGCCAAGGCAGCTCCGTGGAGATAAGGCCCAGGCCTGCGTCCTGATGCACCCACTCCTGCTCTCCGTGAGCCCCCAGGGGCAATGTCACCGAGGCGCCACCAAGGAAACGGCCATCTCTTTGCCTGCTTTCTGCGCCAATGGAGCAAGATTTCCATTCACTTCTAGAAGACAACAATGCAGTGTTTCGTGCTTCTCCGCACTGACTCTCCCCCGTGCTCATCGTTTTGGTAACGATGAGGTCATTATTACTCATTAGCAATTCACCTCCTGTTAAAAAAATCCATCTTCTCTAAACAAACAGAGAGGACAGAGGGAGGAGGGGGATGCAGACACAATGCTGGAAGTCCGCTGAGTGAGTCCTCCTTGGTGAAGAACCCAACGTGAGCTTCTTGTTCGAGCCAGGGTACAAAAGAGCGAGACACGTCTCTTGCCGTTGGACGAGAACTAGAAATAGAAGACAGAATCTGGATTTGATCCAGAGGTGGTAGAACACTGTGGTAAAAATCTCTCGCATCCACTGTGGCACTGGCATTTCCAGGGTGAAAGGAACCCAGTTATAAGATGGTTAGTGCTCCCCTAGCACAACATTTCCTTCCCGCAGTGGGAGCAGCCGCGCTGGTGATTTTTATTTTTTCTCTTGGTGCAGGTGTCCACACACTGACCCCTTTGCCAGGAGCTTCCTGGGCCCCTGTGGGGTGTCAGTGCATTCTGGATAATTCCTGGACCTTTCTTTTGGCCATGTCTGTGCATCTGATCCATTATGTGCTTCGGTTTCACCTGGCCGAAGAGCAGAAGGACGCCAATGTCTCCTAAGCTCTAGGTTGGCCGCAGGCTGGGGCGGAGTGATGGATGCTGGGCCCTCTCCGATCCTGGTGGGAGATCCTGGGGACCGGTGAGACCTCAGCGGCGGCAATGCCGGGCGTGGCCGGGGGCTGCTGGCTGGCCCTGGGGGAGCCCTGGGTGTTTTTCTGCTTGTTTGTTTTTCCCGGTAAGACACACAGCCACGAAAAGGGAGAACAAACAGAGGACGCTCCCTCGGCATTTGTCTCATTTCAAATAAATATAAACACATTTACATCAAAAGTATACGAACATTTTCTCTGGCAAAAAAAAATACGCCGTGGTCAACACATCATCCGTTACAAATGGTAAGACATCCACCGGAAACCTCTGTCGTAAGAAATATAAAATACAACAAAGACTCGTACGCAAAAAGATTCCACGTTAACTCCTTAGAAAAGCTACTTCAGTTCTCACTGTCACGTCGAAGAAAAGCCAGTTAAAAGTCTTCCATTCTTTGACGGAAGCGTTTTGGTCCCCCGGTAGAGCTGGTTGCTGAGATACAGACATAACTATATACATATGTGTGCACGTGTGTGCGCGAGTGGTTCTGGAAGAGTCTCATTCTTCTTTCTGTGCGGCTATTCCCGGGGCGGGGCGGGGTCCGTTGGACCTAGAGGCTTTGGCAGAGGGAGCAGACACAGGGTTCACCAGGTTGATTTCATCAGCAAGCAGCTACCAACGGGCTTTCCTCTCCTCACTCCCCCTCCTCCCCCCGCTCCTGCCGCCTGCTCTGCCTCTCTCTGTCCCCTTCTGCAGCCACACGTGCCTTCCTTTGGCACCCCCTTAACTGAGAAGCTCCTGGAACATTTTACTATCAGTGAACGAGGCCGACGGCCCTGATGCTCTTTAGAGCTCACTGTTCTGTCTAAGGACGCATCAGGAAGCGCAGTTCCATAGCAAACCTGCGTGGGCCTCCGGGTGTGGGTGCCATCTGACCTTCCCGGGAAGGGTCTCAGACAGCCCCGGATTCCACCGCCCATGGGGAAAGAAGTCACAGGCTTGCTATGAGGAGCAGTGGGCACCGTGCTTGTGTTAAAGGAAAAAAACAAGCAAGTCCGGTTTGCAATGAGTTTTTCTCCTTCATTTGGCAGCTTCAACCAATAGCCTCAGGAAGCAGTCCTGGCTGCTGCAGGCCTTACCCTCGGGAAGACACGGGTCATCGGGCTCCCCTTAGAAAGGGGACTACAGGCATGATTTCCAGAGAGGGACACTTTGCCTTTGGACTCTAGTGAGGGCGTAAACAGCCAAGGGAGAGGAGGTGGAGGCCTTTCCTATCTGCCCCACCTCTCCCTTCCTGGGGACATGCATGTCCCAGATATACTTCTGACAACTCACTGCCAAGTGAGTATGTGAACAACAACAACAAAAAAAAACAACCCACACTTTATAAAGGACAACAGTTCCCTCTCAGGGCATTATCCCCAAAGAAAAAGAAGTCAATGCATTTTTTAAAATTCCTTCCTTACAATGAGAGGTATCTTATTGTATCACAGAAGTATCTTAAGGAAAACAGGAGACAAATCAAACGCGGGGCCCACCCGTGTGAGCGCTTGGCCCTCGGGCCTAGCTGCCCTCCCTCAGTTTGCTGAATGAATCCCTTCTCTACTGGCGCCTGGTGGCCGGGGTCCATAGTCACACTGGAACGCGCCCTAAACCCGGAATCCAAGCTTCTTCCCCTTCCTCCAACATGGCAGATAAAGGGAGAAGGTCTACAGTCCAAGGTCAAAAGGTTTCCGAGTCAGAGTCATTCTCATTGTACCCGTCCTCCGAGCCTACGTTGTTACTGCACAGGCTGACCATGCTACCCAGGCTGGAGAGGGTCGTCCTGTTCAAATTGTCTTTTTTAAAACAAACCAAGTTGACAGCCGTCATGGTACTGGAAGGAGAAAAAGGCATCATGGTAGCCAAAATGAGGGCCAGGCAGTCAGCCACGTCTTTGTTAGGAGCGCAAGCCAGGGCCGGGGTATGACCTGGGCGTAAATGCAGACAAGGCAGTGGTTAGTCCGGGACCTGGGGCGACGTGAGCATCCACAGTACATCTCATCGACCTCCCGCCGAGATGTATGTTGGGTTAGCAATCATGCAGGCACAGGGGGCAGCTACTTCTCACAGGGCATGCTAGGGAGGAGGCGAGAGGGGGCTGGAGGGGAGGCATTCCAGGGAGGGTTTGGGGGATTGTGTTCAGCTTACATGACAACGACAAGCACTCTAGTATCCAAAATTAGGCCGAATTTCAGTCCTTGTCTAGTGAACGGAAACATGAGGGGGTGGAGGGAGGGACACAATTCCACACACAAAATAAAAAAAATAAAAAAATAAATACAGCCACAGGACAGCCAGGAAGGAGCTCCCACTGGCGAGCACACACACTCACACCATGGACCTCGGGCCGGGGCCAGAGCACGCTCATTCTGAGAACAATGGCTTCCCATCATAGGTGGTGGTGTGTCAGATTCTACAATGAACGGGCTCTAGGGAGACGGGATTATGTGAGTGGATCAGACACAGGAAGGCCCTGGTCATTTGTAGTTGCACATGGACCACCATTAGAAAATAAAAGCTTGACAGAATTTTTAAAAATAGCAGCACTGCCAACCTACATGCAGCCGAGGTGGGGAAATGGCGGTGGTTGGCAGGGTCGTGCCATGCTCTACCATTTAGGCTGGCATCCGGGAGGGAAAGTTATCTCCTTGCACAAAACAGGTGCGTGGGGAAATAGATACTCTTGGATGTGATCACTGCTGCCTCCGTCTGCTCTGGTTCCAGGCCACCCTGTCCTCTCTGCCGGCCAGAGCTGCCACTACGTCTCGCTCACTTACTCAGAGGAACTGGCTCCATAAAACCCAACTTTTTGTTCTGTTTGTCAGCACTTGACCTCATGTCTGCTTCCCCCTCCTCACCCCTCAGAGCAGATTATTCCTTCTCTGGTGTGAAGACAAACAAGAAGGGACAGATATCTCAACCCCCTGTGCCTCGCAGGTCTGTGATGAGTCCAGGAAATAGGACTGTGGGGCTGTACTAACTTGCCCCTATGTTCCCGGGTCTCTACAATGAAGCTAAGCTCCGAGACAAGCCAGTTCCACTGGCCCAAGCTCAGGAAGGGCTGGGGGAGCCTCGGGGGTAGCAGACTCACACCACAGAATTGAAACTAAGTGTTCTGGCCTCTGGTCATTGTGGAGAAAAGCTGAGGGCCTCTGCTCGCCAACCCCAAAGTCTACAACGGTGAGTAGAGGGGGAGGGGAAAGGAGGCGGGAAAACCAGAGAGATGGATTGAGAGCGAACTTTCTGGGTCTCCTAGATGAATCGGGCCGGGGACGGAGCAGGGAACATGCTAGGGGAAACGGGGCCGCAAAACCGAGCTAACAGGAGTTACAGCTAATGATACCATGGGGCTGCTTACTTCTGAGCAATGGGCATGAGCTGCTAATTCCAATACCTGTAATAAGCAGTTAATTGAGTTCCGTTAATGCATTTTATTATTTGATGTTAATCCATTGCCACGATCAATGCCACATTTTTTTTTAAAAAAACTTTACTTAATTCGTAAATATCCAGAAGTCCCTCTTCTGCTCCCCATGGCTAATAGGCATTGTGCTAAAAATGGCAGCCTAATGCAATCCTGGTGTTCACAATTCCTTAGGAAGCAGAGTGTAAAGCTGCTGCTAAGAGTTACTAGTTCATTAAGAAAAGGGACGTTCTCTAATTCATTGAGAAAAGGGACGTTCTCTAGATCAAGAGAAACATCAAGCCTGCACATGAACTTGAAATTCTTATTCACATCCCCAAATAGCCATCCTGGGGATATGCGACCCAGTCTGTTCTCGAAAAGAAAAAAAGAAAAAGGTTGATCTCAGAATGGACTGGAACACAGAGCCCCGGTTTTGAGCGAGCCCTCGAGCATGCACGGATGACGTGGAATCCCTCACTCCTCAGGGCGCGTGGCCAGAACTGCGAAGGCCAAGGCGAAAGCTTGTCCGTGGGTCTGGGCATCTGGACCGCCACGCTGAGGAGTCAGGGACCCTCGCTGCTGACACCACATGCAGAATGGGAGGCAGCGGTGGCTGCGGGGAGACTGTGCTTGAACGCAGACAGACAGGACACGGTACCCTGGTTGATTTCTCACACACAGGGGGCTCTGCAGGGAGAGGGTTCCTACCGCCTCTTTAACTAGCACCTGCATCCCTCACGTCCTGTGGCTCCCCGGCACAGGGAAGGCCCCTGCGTGATCGTGTACTCTCCCCACTCACCGTTCTCATCGACAGCGAGGACACAGGCCCCTTTGGCCAGCAGCTCCTCCACCACGGCCTTCAGGCCATTGCGCGCAGCCACGTGCAGGGGCCTGAGAAAGAACACAGCGTCAGCCGGGATGCGGGTTGTGTGAGATGTGCCATTGGGGTGGCCTGCGCTATGAAGGGGAAGCAGGCAGGTAAGAATCCATAAAAAGCATCAGAACATTCTTACTGGGACAAAAGAGATTTGTTGACCAGTTCTTTCCCAGGTGCTAATGACCTAAATCTTCCAAGTTGGCCCAGATTTCTCTGCAGATATCACAAATGCTCTGCATCTCAAACAACCTCAATGACAGTAAGTAGGAAGACAGAGAACTTAAGCTCTAGTGCATTTTCTAGAAGGTCCTTTATCCCTTGAGTTGTACTCCAGCATTTGAATCACTGTTTCACCCAGTTCATCAATATGACTGTTTAATATCACTCATATAGATAACCTCAAACCTCTTTGTTATTACTAAGTGATATTTTACTGAATTTAGAACATCTTAAAGAACAATGTCAAAGTTAGTATATTCTGCTATATATTCCTTCAGAATGTTAATTAAAAAATGCTAATATTCTTTGCCCTTTGAAACAAGTATATAATTTCCTACAATAAAAAATAAAGCAGCTTTTATTTATTTACTATTATTATTATGTTTAGTCCTCACCTGAGGATATGCTTATCTTTTCATTGGTTTTACAGAGAGGAAACGAGAGAGAAAGAAACATCAACTGGCTGCCTTCTGTATGCACCCCAACTGGGGATCGAACTTGCAACCCAGGTATGTGCCCTGATTGGAAATTGAACCCATCTCCTTTTAGTGTATGGGATGATGTTCTAACCAAATGAGCCACATGGCTAAAGCTAAAGCAGCTTTTAAATTTTTCACACTGAGGATAACACTGAATTACATTAAAATGTAATTAAGACAAATTGCTTAAAAACTCTTCAAATATATTCTGGCAAACTAGTTTATAAAACTGACATTTTTAGTAAGCCTACATAATGCTAATCCTCTATAATAAAAGCTCAATATGCTAAGTGTCTGACCAATTGGTCGACTGTTCTCCAATCGCTATGACACACACTGACCACCAGGGGCAGATGCTTCTATCAGTAGGCTAGCTTGCTGCTGGGGTCTTGCTAATGGGGACTGAGTGAGATGGGTCAAAAACACCCTGGAGCCCTCCCACGGTCCCTTCCTGGCCCCGATCTGCACCGGTGGGGTCCCTTGACCTGGCTTGAGCCCTGTCACAATCTGGGACCCCTTGGGGGATGTTGGAGAACTGGTTTTAGCCCGATCCCAGCAGGCCAGGCCAAGGAATGCACTGGGCCTTTAGTACATTTATACAAATATTTCCCAAATAGGTCATCCCATAAGTTTTTCTAACCACCCATTAAATTTATAATATTACCATAGAAATATCAGCAAAGAAAAACACAGACCTCCCAAATCTCTATGCCAGCATATCAAAGTGAAGGCTCTAACTGAAACTGTCCAGCTGAGTCTGACTCGCAGGTGTGTGCCTGAACTTCACGAAGGAGAAGCGAGTCTGTGCTTTCCTGTGGGGCCCCCAGCCCCAGCCTGGCACAGAGCACACGTCACATTTGTTGAATACACGACTATGAATCTGGGTCTGAGTCCAACTCTCGCCATCACACTTACGTCTGCAGTGCATTGTTTTTGGCATTAATGAGGCTCTCGTCTTGTATCTTGTCAAGTATTAACAAGGCACATTTTTCATGACCCTAGGGAAGAAAAAGAAAATGATCAGAAACGCAGGACAGAGACTTGGAAAAGCTCTGGAACAATCAGCTCATTGTGCTCTAAATGTGAAGGGAATGCCCTCTGCCTGTATACATGCTAGAAGGCCATCATGTGAGTAATTCCTTTTTCTTCTAAAAAGCAAATAGTCCGAGGGCCCTAGATTTTCCAAGATTCCAAATGAGGCCCCATTAGGACTTGGTTAATATAAATCTGATCTGATACACAAATATTTCTAGGATAAGTTTTAGGACTAATGTCCAGGGAGCTGAAACCGACACGAATTCAGCTGGGTCAGCAGGTAAACAGGGAGGAGAGTTAGGAGAACCCTTCCACATCACTTTTTAAATGTAAGTCAAGTCCCATCTCCTTCCTCAAGTCTTCAGGATCAACCACTTCCCTGATCCATTTATCCTCGGAATTTGCATGTCGCCTATTATCTGTGTCACTTATCAGTTACTGCCTTCTATTGTGAAAGGAAGGATTCTTTTTCAAGAAAGCCTATTCATTCCCTCCTCGCCAGGGGAAATGAGCTCTGAGTCTTATGAAATCAGACAGACAGTAATTTTAATTGATCCGTCAGAGGTGCTTTCATGGTTTCAGGCCTGCGTTCCATGAAGATACTGGCTTCCTGAACCTTGTGACCCAGAGCATCAACATCAGCATCACCTGGCACTTAGCGACGTGGAATCCAGGCCCCATTCCCACTCTCCTAAGTCAGAAGCTGAATTTTAACAATATCCTTAGGTGATTCAATGGCACAATGACGTTTGAAAAGCACTGCATTTAAGGTCATGAAAACTACACCTTGAAACACACTTGATGAAACAGAGCACTTTTTTGCATTTTCCCTGGGACTCCCAGGACGTGAACTGAGAAAATGCAACCGATGAGAGGAACGGCTGAGCATGCTGGTGCCCCTGGGTACAGATAATACCTTTAATGCTGGAGCTATCCTATATAATAAAACCCTAATATGTAAATCGACTGAACGGCCGAACAACCAGTTGTTATGATTTGCACTGACCACCAGAGGACAGACACTCAACACAAGAGCTGCCCCCTGGTGGTCAGTGTGCTCCCACAGGGGAAGCCTGTTCAGCCAGAAGCCAGGCTCATGGCTGGCAAACGCAGTGACGGTGACGGGAGTCTCTCCCGCCGCCTCCACTGCAGGTGGGCAGTAAGAAGTGAGGGGTCCTAGACTGTAAGAGCCCAGGACTCTGAGAGGGATGTCTGACTGCCAGCTTATGCCCAATCTCCAGGGGAGTAGGCCTAAGCAGGCAGGCAGACATCCCCCGAAGGTTCCTGGACTGGAGAGGGCACAGGCCTGGCTGAAGCGCCTTTCCCCCAAGTGCATGATTTTCATGTACTGGACCTCTAGTGCTGAAATAAACACCATCACTAGTGTCAGCTGGCATTATAACACAATGCCTTAGAAGGGAGACCCTTAAATATAACTTTAGAAATATCCACAGAGGTGTCATTCTGATCTACTACTGATGGTGTAAATAATTAAGACTTCATTTTAGGGGAATTTGGTCTTTAAAATGTTCATAGCCTCAGGCTTGATAATTTCACATTTATAAATTTATGTTAAAGGAACAAGGCTCCCTAAAACATTCCACCATAGTTATTATTGTGTAGAAGCCTGTGTTTGAAAACAAGCAAGTGTCTAATGGGAGGGGGTGAGCTGAGTGAAGGGCGGCACATTCCTAAGGTAGCGCATACCAGGCGTCAACATCATGAAATGTCTGTAAGAAAGCTATTCGTAACATATGACTCAGTAACAAGAGCAGGTTGTATGTAGTATGATCCCACTTGTGTGAAATCACATTCCTATGTGCCATTTATCTCTTGCTAAAGCAGGAACCCCGGAGCAGTGAACACAATGCTATTAAAAAAAAAAAAATACACCAAATACACAATGCATCCTTTGCATTGGACGAGGCACCAGAGAAAAGGGAGAGGGCAGACCTGCACACAAACACACTTATTGGCCTCACAGGAGAGCATTTTTGGGGCTGTGTTATTACAAGGCCTTCCAACGAGACAAAATGAGAACACGTGGAGCTGCGTGTATCTGCGGTCTTCATGTGTGTTTACAACCAAAATGTGGTACCACAGACACAGTGGCAGCGTCGAGCCAGACTGCAGCCAGCATGCAAGTGGCCAATGCCATGCTAAGCACATCCTGACCACCCGTGTGATACGCCCTCACTTTTCCTCCTCCTCCTTTGCTGAGAGGGGACAACCTCCTGGGGAAATGGACCTCTTAATGAGGGGCCATGATACGCACTTTTGAGGCAGAATTAAGTGGTATTTATCATCACCATCGTCACCACCATTACTATTATTATTATACTGAATAACAGTGTTTCAAATCCCTTCGCATACTTTACTGCACGCCAAGTGCAACGGTGTGTTCAAGTCCTTGTCCTTCACAGACAGGTCAGCCTGGGCGCTGTTCACCAGAAAGTCTATAAAAAACAAAACAACAAAGAAAGCCACTCAGACCACATGCCAATTACATGCATCTTAAAGAGGTTCCTACAGAAACAATATCAGATCTAAATTAGTGCAGCCCACATAACCCTACTTGATGTTTTTAAGGAAAAAAGGAACCACTTCTGGCCGCATTTGTTCTAGCCAAATCCAAGGCCTCTAGACATCCATTGTGATTGTCTATAGAGTTCTATTTCCAGGAACAATGACTCTGTGTTGCCTCTGGCTTCTCACTGTCGGGAGGTTTCCCCGCTGAGAGGTTGGCTGTCTTGGATCAGGTCCACCGGCCAGCCAGTAAGGGGCATGTGGACAATGAGCCAGTGGAGCCGGTGGCTTAGGTGAAACGTTGGCCTTTTTGTGGGTGTAGAGCAAGAGACCAACGGCTTTCCTGAGTGCCCGTGCCTTTGGTGTTGGACAGGCACGGAGGGGACGTCCCCTGGGCACGTACCCACGGCGCCCGCCTGCCCGTTCTCCGCGGCCATCATCAGCGCTGTGCGGCCCACGTCGTCGGCCGCGTTCACCTGGGCGCTGTGTCTCAGCAGGAGCTGCAGGCACTCCACGTGGTCGGCGAAGGCTGCGGCGTGCAGCGGCGTCCTGGCGAACAGAGCAACGGTGTTAGCTTCCCGGGAGCCTCGCCCCGCTCTCGGCGCATGCCAGGAAACACGGGGTCCCAGAGGTTACCACGGGCCCCTCCAAAGGGTCACCGACGAGGGGGGGCAGGTGGTGGCCCTGATCATGAAATTAGCATCTTTGTTGACTGCTTTGTTGATACTTTCAAAATTACACCTAAATGTGTAGATCATTGGCTATTTTTCTAGAAACTATTGGTCTTTTAACCACTTCTAGGATATTATCCCCTAGATATACATGGGTCATAGCACCAGGCTCATTCTGATATGAACCGCACCACCCTTTGAAATAACAAAGTACTGGAAACAACCTCAATATTCTCCCATAGGGGGCAGGACGATGAAGTTATAACATATCCCCTCAGATGAGTAATATTCAGCTTTAAAAAGAACATGGAAAATCTAAGGGTTTTAGTGTGGGAAGATCTCCAAGGTGCACCAAAGCAAAGCATTGCTATAGAGTGCTCCATGTGCATACAAGGGACATAAGCACATGTATTTTACATATGTTTGTAGCGGTGCACAGACAACATGTGAGGGAATATATGCATTTGGAAGGGACAGTTTCTAGTGGCTTCCTCCGTGGAAGAGGCTGGGGCTGCTGGGCCGAGGAGGAAAACATCTTTTAAGTATATATCCTTTACTATACTTCATTTAAAAAACAAACAAACCATGCTTACATTATTACTTTTCAATTTAAAAACTAAATAAAAGCCGAAACCGGTTTGGCTCAGTGGTAGAGCGTTGGTCTGCGGACTGATGGGTCCCAGGTTCGATTCTGGTCAAGGACATGTGCATTGGTTGCGGGCACATCCCCAGGAGGGGGTGTGCAGGAGGCAGCTGGTCGATGTTTCTCTCTCATCGATGTTTCTGGCTCTCTATCTTTCTCCCTTCCTCTCTATAAAAAAATCAATGAAACATTTAAAAAAAATTAAAACTAAATAAAAGAGGTTTGGCCCCTCTGCCACCGCAGGGCAGAGACGGAGATTCGTGGAGGAGAGGCGTGTCCCCTGGCCACTCACCTGCCTTTGTCGTCTCTGCAGTTGACAATACTGGAATCTATGGCCCCCAGGAGCAGCGACGCACAGTTCTCATGGGCATTGATTCTAAAATGAAATCGGATTGAACATGAAAAATCTCACCACTGTACACACCCCCTCATCCATCTTCCCACGCACTGCGTACCTAACAATCTGATAGTTGTTGTTTTGTAAGTCTGATGCAAATATCTATGGCCCATGTTCTGGTAAAATGTTTAAAGAAGATGATTTAGGGGAAACAAACAGACTGTATTTAACACTTCCTGAAGTGGGCGGTCTCCACTCTGAAGATTTGGGAGCACTTGCCTGCTCCAAGAAGGGCTCAGGTTTGTTCATCTGACCTAAATGGCCTCCTCTGGATGTCTGAGCAGCGGTGGTGAGGAGGGTAGGATCTGAAGCTAAAGGTCATGGGAAGAGAAGCTCAGGAGGGCACCCTCTTTACTCCAAGTTCACCAGGAGCCCTGCCAATCACTCTTGAATTTGAGCTCCACCCCCTCACAGATCCAAACAAATTATATTCAATTTTTTTTTTTTTTAAAGGAAAGGGGTTTGTTAAAGTTCCTGGGAAGGTCCCGGGACAGTTAGACTAAAAATCCACAGCCAGTGACAGCTGGGACTTCGAGAAATCAATTAAGACAAGAAATTGTGAGCAAACACACCTCAGAATCTACGTGGGCACAACTTGGAACAAAATAGGTCCAGAGACATAGAAGCTTAGATTGTGGGATCTCTGAAGGAAGGCAGAGGAGGGTGGGTGGGTGGAAAGAGATGAACCAAAGACCTTGCTGCACATATGCATCACCCATGGACCCAGACAATAGGGTGGTGGAAGCCTGGGGTGGGGTGTGGGGAGTGGGCTACAAGAGGTCAATGGGAGAAAGAGGGGGACATATAAAGATTCAAAATATATTTATTTATTTATTTTTTTTTTGAAGGAATATTTAATATTAACATTGTGAGTTATTATCTTTTGCATATCCAAGTTACACATTTCAAACAAATCGTCATTTATATTTACAGTATACAGATGCAAAGCATTAATTTCCCACTAAATCATCACTTTCTTAAAATGGTACATGTGATGTTATGAAATTAGCTATTAAGCATTCAAAATAGTGGAAAAGAGGTCCTTTCTTCAGTCTTTTTTTTTTTTGAATATATATATATATATATATTTTTTTTTTTGCCCCCCCTCCCTCCCTCCCTCACATCCCCTCCCTCCCCAGAGTTTTATGTCCAATGGTTGTACTTATGTGCATGTATAAAAGTCCTTCGTTTGATCTATTATCTCCCCCAGATCTTCCTCCCCTCCCCGCTGTAATTTGACAGTCTGCTTGTTGATATACTATCTTTATATCTATCTTTTGGTTCATCAGTTTATAATGTTCTTTATTATCCACAAATGAGTGAAGTCATGTGGTGTTTTTCTTTCAATGACTGGCTTATTTCACTCAGCATGATGTTCTCCATTTCCATCCAGGTTGCTACAAATGATGAGAATTCCTTCTTTTTTATGGCAGCATAGTATTCCATTGTGTAGATGTACCAAAGTTTTTTGATCCAATCATCTGCTGATGGGCACCTAGGCTGTTTCCAGATTCTAGCTATTGTAGATTGTGCTGCTATGAACATAGGGGTGCATATATCCTTTCTGATTGGTGTTTCTAGTTTCTTGGGATATATTCCTAGGAGTGGGATTACTGGGTCAAATGGGAGTTCCATTTTCAGTTTTTTGAGGAAACTCCACACTGTTCTCCACAGTGGTTGCACCAGTCTGCATTCCCACCAGCAGTGCACGAGGGTTCCCTTTTCTCCACAACCTCGCCAACACCTGTCGTTTGTTGATCTGTTGATGTTGGCCATCCTGACAGGTGTGAGATGGTACCGCATTGTTGTTTTGATTTGCATCTCTCGGATAATTAGTGACTTTGAGCATGTTTTCATGTGCCTTTTGGCCTTCCTTCTGTCTTCTTTTGGAAATATTCTATTTAGGTCCATTGCCCATTTTTTAATTGGATCATTCATCTTCCTTTTATTTAGTTGTATAAGCTGTTTGTAGATGTTGGAGATTAAACCTTTATCAGTGGTAACATTTGCAAATATGTTCTCCCACATTGTGGGCTTTCTTGTTGTTTTGTTGATGGTTTCTTTTGCTGTAAGAAAGCTTTTTATTTTGATGTAGTCCCATTTGTTTATTTTCTCTTTAGCTTCCATTGCCCTAGGGGCAGTATCAGTGAAGAAGTTCTTTTGGCATATGTCTGAGATTTTGCTGCCCGTGGATGCTTCTAGTATTTTTATGGTTTCCCGTCTGATGTTTAAGTCCTGTATCCATTTTGAGTTTACTTTTGTGTATGGTGTAAGTTGGTGATCCAGTTTCATTCTTTTGCATGTATCTGTCCAATTTTCCCAACACCATTTATTGAAGAGACTGTCTTGACTCCATTGTATATTCATGCCTCCTTTGTCAAATATTAATTGAGCATAGTGATTTGGGTTGATATCTGGGTTCTCGATTCGATTCCATTGATCTATATGTCTGTTTTTGTGCCAGTACCAGGCTGTTTTGAGAACAGTGGCTTTGTAATACAGTTTGAAGTCTGGTATTGAGATCCCTCCTACTTTACTCTTCTTTCTCAGGATTGCTGTGGCTATTCGGGGTCTTTTATTGTTCCAAATGAACTTTTGGAGAGTTCTTTCTAGGTCAGTGAAGTATGCCGTTGGTATTTTAATGGGGAGTGCATTGAACCTATAGATTGCTTTAGGAAGTATGGACATTTTGATGATGTTGATTCTACCAATCCATGAACATGGTATGTTCTTCCATCTGTTTACATCTTCCTCTATCTCTTTTTTCAGTGTCGTGTAGTTTTCCGCATATAGGTCCTTTACTTCCTTAGTTAAATTTATTCCTAGATATCTTAATTTTTTTGGTGCGATGGTAAATGGAATTGCTTTTCTAGTCTCTGTTTCTATAAATTCGCTGTTGGTGTATAGAAATGCCATAGATTTCTTGGCGTTAATTTTGTATCCTGCTACATTGCCAAATTCATTTATTAAGCCAATTAGTTTTTTAATAAAGTCTTTTGGATTTTTTATGTACAATATCATGTCGTCTGCAAATAAGGATAGCTTTACTTCTTCTTTTCCAATTTGGATGCCTTTTATTTCCTCCTCTTGTCTAATTGCAATGGCTAGTACTTCCAGTACTATGTCAAAGAGGAGTGGCGAAAGTGGGCATCCCTGTCTTGTTCCTGTTCTTAGAGGGAATGGTTTTAGTTTTTGCCCATTGAGTATGATGTTGGCTGTGGGTTTATCATATATAGCTTTTATTATGTTGAGGTATGATCCTTGTACTCCCACCTTGTTGAGAGTTTTTATCAGGAAAGGGTGTTGGATTTTATCAAATGCTTTTTCTGCATCAATTGATATGACTATATGATTTTTATCTTTCAACTTGTTTATGTGATGTATCACGTTTATTGATTTGCGGATATTGTACCATCCTTGCATTCCTGGAATAAATCCTACTTGGTCATGGTGTATGATCTTTGTGATGCTCTGCTGGAGCCGATTTGCTAGAATTTTGTTGAGGATTTTGGCATCTATGTTCATGAGGGATATTGGCCTGTAATTCTCTTTCATTGAGTTGTCTTTATCTGGTTTTGGTATTAGGGTGATGCTGGATTCATAGAAGGAGTTTGGAAGTGTTCCTTCCTCTTGGATTTTTTGGAATAATCTGAGGAGGATAGGTTTTAGTTCTTCCTTGAATGTTTGGTAAAACTCTCCTGTGAAGCCATCTGGCCCTGGGCTTTTGTTTGCTGGAAGTTTTTTGATGACTGTTTCAATTTCTTCCCAAGTCACTGGTCTATTTAGATTTTTAGATTCTTCCTGATTGAGTTTTGGAAGGTTGTATTTTTCTAGGAATATGTCCATTTCCTCCAGGTTGTTCAGTTTATTGGAATAGAGCTGTTCGTAGTATTTTGTAACAATCATTTGTATTTCGGCGGGATCTGTTGTTATTTCACCTCTTTCGTTTCTGATTTTGTTTATTTGGGTCCTCTCTCTTTGTTTCTTGGTTAGCCTGGATAGGGGTCCATCTATCTTGTTTATTCTTTCAAAGAACCAGCTCTTGGTTTTGTTGATCTTACGTATTGTTTCTTTGGTCTCTATGTCGTTTATCTGTGCTCTGATTTTTGTTATTTCCTTCCTTCTGCTTACACTGGGATTTTCTTGTTGCTCTTTTTCTAACTCTTTGAGTTGTAGAGTTAGATCATTTGTTACCCTTTTTTCTAGTTTTTTGCAATAGGCTTGTAGGGATATGAACTTCCCTCTCAAAACTGCTTTTGCTGTGTCCCATAGATTTTGGATAGTTGTGTTTTCATTGTCATTTGTTTCCAGGATGTTTTTAATTTCTTCCTTGATTTCTCTGGTAACCCAGTCCTTGTTTAATAGCATGCTGTTTAGTCTCCATGTGTTTGATTTCTTTGGATTTTTTTCGTTGTAGTTAATTTCCAGTTTTATGCCACTATGATCTGAGAAGATGCTTGATATGATTTCTATCTTCTTGAATTTGAAGAGACTTTGCCTATGTCCCAAAATGTGGTCTATCTTTGAGAATGACCCATGTGCGCTTGAGAAGAATGTATATTCTGTGGCTTTGGGGTGGAATGTTCTGAAGATGTCGATTAATTCCATCTGGTCTAGCGAGTCATTTAGGATTGATATTTCTTTGCTGATTTTTTGTTTAGATGACTTGTCAAAGGGTGACAGTGGGGTATTAAGATCTCCTACTATGATTGTATTGCTATTAATCTCTCCCTTAATGTCCTCCAGCAGTTTTTTTATATATTGGGGTGCTCCCGTATTGGGTGCATATATATTTACCAGGGTTATTTCTTCTTGTTGGATTGCTCCCTTTAGTATTATGAAGTGACCTTCATTATCTCTTGTTATGTCCTTCACTCTGAGATCTAATTTGTCAGATATAAGTATTGCTACCCCAGCTTTTTTTCCATTTCCATTCGCCTGGAAAACCTTTTTCCATCCCTTCACCCTCAGTCTGTGTGCATCTTTTTTTCTGAGGTGGGTTTCTTGTAGACAACAGATATATGGGTCTTGTTTTCTTATCCAATCCGTTACCCTATGTCTTTTGATTGGAGCATTTAGTCCATTTACATTTAAAGTTATAATTGATAGATACTTATTTGACTCCATTTTTATTCTATACCCCTGTGTTCCTTCTTTGCTTTCTGTTTCTTTAACTTTACAGTAGACCCGTTAGCATTTCTTGCATTGCTGGTTTGGTGGAGATAAATTCCCTTAGTCTGTTTTTGTCTGTGAAGCTCCTGATTTCCCCTTCAATTTTGATTGATAGCCTTGCTGGGTACAGTATTCTTGGATTCAGACCCTTCCTTTGCATGACTTTATATATTTCATCCCATTCCCTTCTGGCCTGATAAGTTTCTGTGGAGAAATCAGTTGCTAGTCTGATGGGGGTTCCTTTATATGTAACTTTCTGTCTCTCTCTGGCTGCTTTTAAGATTCTTTTTTTGTCGTAGGTGTTTGCCAGCTTAATTATAATGTGTCTAGGGGTTGATTTTCTGGGGTTCATTTTGCTTGGGACTCTGCGAGCATCTTGGATTTGTGTGGGTTTTTTCTTCTCTATCTCAGGAAAGTTTTCTGTCATTATTTCTTGAAATACGTTTTCCATGTCTTCCTCAATTCCCTGTCCTTCTGGAACCCCTATTACTCTAATATTGTTTTGTTTTGTATTGTCCCAGAGTTCCCTTAGACTTTCCTCCTGTTTTTTAATTTTTTTTTCCAGAAGCTGTTCTAATTGGGTATGTTTTTCCATCTTGTCTTCTAGCTCGCTGATGCGGTCCTCTGCTTCTTCTAATCTACTCTTGATGCTTTCTATTGAGTTCTTTACAGTAGCGATGTCATTTTTCATTTCTTCTTGGTTCTTCTTCATTTCCTCTTGGTTTTTACTCATATTGTCAAATTTGTCTTCCATTCTTTTTAGCCATCTTATGATCATTACTCTGAATTCTTGCTCTGGTAGGTTGCTTCCCTCTATCTCGTTTACTTCCTTTTCTGGTGAGGCCTGCTTTTCTTTCATATGCGGGCTATGTGTTGGTCTCCCCATGATCTAGGATGTCTGGTTGTGTAGTTCTCTCTCTCTCCTGCTTTGATTTAAAGGCACCAAATACAACACAACCAGGTACAACACACAGGGGACTGAATCGGGATGTGTTTGAAATATTAATAACCACCAATAAGGGTGATTAGAACCCAGCTAGCAAAAACATACAATCAAACAAAAAGCATATCAAATCAATCTTATAAACAAAAGCATACAACTTCAGTATAGTTGACATTCAACATACAACTTCAAAGTGTTAGAGAGAAAGACTTTTGTTTTGTTTTGTTTTTAGGACAACTGCAAGGGAGGTGTAAATGGGCTCGGAGCAAGTAGTTGGAAATTAGATATATTAAAGATTCAAAATAATAATAAAGCCTTTAGGGCATCTGCTACTATAAAAAAATTATGAGAGAAATAATAGACCTATTGTTCATGGAATCATGGAAGCCAAAGACAAAAAACTGGAGGGCAGGGATTGGAGTGCTTCAAAGCTGTGAGTGCTGGCCGCTCACATGACCTGTGCCAGAGCCAGCTGGTCAGGGAACAGGCTGCATCGACACAAGTCACCTGCCGACCTCAAGATCATGTCCACCTGGGTGCCCATGACCCAGCAGGCTGACATGGATGTCTGACTCACAGTCCCTGTACTCTCTGGACAATGGTTCACACACTGAGCTTGGAGCAGAAATTACATATAAAACACCTTACAGCATATGAAGTTAGGGAATTACAATACATGCAAAGTCTTCCTGGTCTAAAACGTCTTTCTAATCATTCAGGGGCCTATTTTTAGAATTTGGCTGACAGATGTGAAGCATATCTGAAGAGTATGGGTGTCAGGTGCCCCCCAGGCCACCCTCCATGCAGTTTCCCGCAAGTGGCATGTGAGCCTCCTGGGAACCATGACATTCCAGAGAAATCTCCTGGGAATCATTCACATTAGGGACCACACGTCCCTCTCAGACCTGTTTGCCTTTAGCAGCAAAATGGAATACTTCTTATCTGTCTTATCTGTCATGTGAAAGCCTTTTCCTTTCCCAAAGGGCAATTTCTCTACGTGTCGTTAAAGGAATTAAAGCAGCACCATTGACTTCCGGCATCTATACTTACATCGCACAGTGCAGAGGAGTGAAGGGATTGCCGATAAATTCGCGAAAACATTTCTGCTCCAGAAGTACCTCTATGCAGTTTTCATTACCTGCAAGGAAGCAAAAGAATTTAGGAAGTTTCCAAGAGAGAAATTTTGTTCAACACAATCAATTTTTTTTTTTTGTCATTAAGAACTGAATTCTGGCTTATGAATTTTCCTGAATTGGATGAATGCTCAACCTCCATGGAATGAAATTCACCAAATGCCAGCATGTTATTGACTATGCTCATAGGTGTTCCGAGACACAATGAACAAATAAGACAATGAAGGCCCCAATGTGATCTGGAGGAGAGAACGAGATGAAGAAGGGACCTAATTCGCAAGCAGAATCGATTCTATGTTATGCTTAGCTCTTGATAGGCAGACAACTAACACACCTCAGTTTGCCCATATTTACAACAGGAAATTTCCCCTTCACCCATCTGAGTAGATTCACTTATAATTATGGACCCTCGTGAAGGGGAGAAGACGTGATTGATAGAAAGTAGCAGGTGAAAGGATAAAATACTGAATGTGAACTACTATATGAATATTTAAAATTGCACCAAGACCAGCTCCTGGCAAACAATGTGTATCCAATAAGTATTAAAAAAAAAAAAAAGTAGAGGAATGCATGTGAGGAATTATCTTCAACAAAATGACAAGTAGTTTCCAAATCCACTGAATTTACGTTAAGGCCTCAACTCTGTTGGCTTTCTTGTCATGCGATCCAAACAACTCTCTTGGGATCTGTGAGCCTCTGACAGACTCAACTACACAAAAGCTCAAAATTTCTGCATGGAAAACGACACCACAAACAAGGACCAGAGACAAATGACAGACTGAGAGAAAACACTGGCAGCATATAGGACAAGCAGGGAGGATTCCTATCTCTAAGACAAGGCCCTCCAGCCAAGCACAGGAGGAAAGATAAAACGCATTAAAAATAAGCAATAGCTGGAAAATGTCATTTCCAGAAGACAAAATACCAATAAATAAATAAATACACTGTTAGACAGGGAAACACAGCCCAAAGTAATGAGATAACCTTTTCTGCCCTTCAAATCACAAAAAGGAAAGAGATGCTATCTTCCCGGGCTGGCAAAGGCTTGGGGAAACACAGGTTTTATACACGTTTGGGGGAGTAATAAATTACACCCTTCTTGCAAAGTAACATGGTGTCATTTATTAAAGTTAAAAAACACACATGTCCTCATCAATAGTCTCCGTCTGGAAACTTATTGGACAGAATTAAGGTACATACTATGAATAGACACACACTGAGCCTTGTTTTAAGAGGAAAAAACCTGAAAACAATCCGAATGTCCATCCCAGAGACCCGGTTGAATAAATAATAAATTATGATACACATGCATCGATATTGATTTATCGGCTATGCAATATACTACGGAGATCAATTGTTATTGATACACAATAACTTGCAGGATCGCTGCAATAGAATGTGCATAGAAGTAGATGCGGACAAAGCCAGCTCCACTTCCGGGTCCCGGATTTCTCTTCTGCTGTGACCTTCGATCAGCCTCCCTGAGCAAGCCTATCAGAGCCTTCCAGTTGATGGTTATCAGTGTTCCATAAAACCGACCATAAATGTTTTTGTTAGTAACGGCCAGAATGCCTTGGCAAACAGAATAAAAATTAACCTGGTGATAGAATCCATTATGGACCATCTTCCGTTGCAAGACTACCAAGAGTATGGTCCTTGGCACCACTGCATTCTTTTTTTTTTTCTTTAATGTTTTTATTGATTTTAGAGAGAGGAAGGGAGAGGGACAGAAAGATAGAAACATCAACAGGAGGGAAACATTTACTGGCTGCCTCCTGCACATCCTCTACAAGGGTTTGAGCCTGCAACCAGGGCATGTGCCCTGACCAAGAATGGAACCAGTGACCTCCTGGTTCACTGAGCCACACGGGCCGGGAACTACTTGCACTCTTGACTGCATTTTTTGTCCCTTTGCCTTGTCAATCCTCAGTGCCTAAGTTACACCATAAAAAAGTACTGTAACAGGGGTCTGTTAGCGGAAAATCATCTGTGCCGAGTGCTGGGCTGTCTGTCCGCTCTGACCCTACATCCCTGTAAGGAAATGATCCTGTAATCATTCCTGTTACGGTCTGTGGAGTTGCCTACATTGTTTGTCATCTGCCTGTTCAGGTGGCCATTATACCTGTGTCCCCCTTCCCCTGCCCAACCATGTTAAATAAACAACAGCAAAAAAAAGAAAGCTACAGAATGATAGTTGTTCTATGATTCTAGTTTAAAAACACAAAAACAGATACACATACATTTGTATTTAATTATATCCTCAAGGGGAAAGTATTAAAGGTGCACATCAAATTACACCAGAAAGCGAGTTTGGAAATGGAGACTTAATTCTACCTTAGACATGTCAATATTTTTTGAAATTTAAGATGAGCTTGCATTTCTTTTTTTATTCAAATAAATGAAATTTGGGGGGGAAAATGTTAGGTCTTCTGAATTATAAGTGCGACAAAAATAAATGGGGGGAATAATATCTAAAAGAGGAAATGCCCAAAGACAAATCAATCAGTTGAGAGTCTGACTGGTAGTCAACTGTAGCAGGTGTTAGCTGTGTTATTGTAATTCATTGTAGGATCCCCGGTTATATCATTAGATCAGGAACCTTCATTAAAACTGGTTATTCAGTTCATTAGAAGTTCTGATTAGGAGTTTTATGTTATTAATTAGCAAAAAGAGAGAATGTTAATTTTTATCCCATTGAGGCATCAGAGTGGCCAGGAAGGGAAACATACTTAAAAAACAGAAAAAAGGTGTCTCGGATGCAGCAAGATTGGGAATTGAGGCGGACATCGTCGTGCTGTTTTCCCTCCCCCGGGGTCCCAGTGGAGCCGGGTTCAGAGGGAACCACGGGACCCGGTCGCACTCACCATTGTAACAGGCCCAGTGCAGCGGCGTGTAGCCCTGGTTGTCCTTGAAAGAGCAGTCTTCCTCCGACAGGGCCATCTGCAGCAGCTCGCTCAGCCACGTGGCATGGCCGCGGGCCGCCGCGTAGTGCAAGGGGGTCCTCCCTCTGGCGTCTTTGCAGAGGATGGAGACCTCTTCCTCCAGCAGCATTTGCACACATTCCTCGTGGCCCGACATGATCTGATCGTTGAGAACACAAAATAAAGTCAGAAGGGCAGCCGGCCCGGGAGGTGACACAGGTGGCTGCGTGAGGCTGGGCTCAGAGTCAGAGGACATCAGTGCCCGGGCCTTAGGGGGGACAGATTCATAGCAGAAAAGTCCGTGTGGACATCAGCATTGGGAAACATCTCGACCCTCCAGACATAACCAGGAAGAGTATCGTGATCATGATACAGTGGGACACGTGAGCGTTAGAGTCAGGAAGATGTGAGTTAAACCCTGGCTTCCCCTAGGAAAGCCTGGACAAGTCGATTCACCTGTCTGTCTCGTTTCGTTTACCTGTACATGGGGACGGTGATAAGGACCCCACGGGTTGTTGTGAGGACTGACGAGATGAGGTACATAAGGCCCCAGCCTGCTGCATGACCCACAGGAAATCCCCGAGAAATAAGGACTAAGATTATCACTTTGACTCCTGAGAGTTCCTCTCCTTTTCCCTGACCATGGTGGTTGGCACCAGCCCCAAAGAGCACTTTCATTTCTGCTTTTGTTTGATTTTGTTTCCTCAACATGCTTTAAGAAACATCTCAGCAGATGTATACAAAAAAATTGTCACAGGATGCATATTTCACTTGGGGAATGGGTCAACAATTAGACACAGCAGGGCTACTCAAACACTAAGCAATCATTGGAATAAATTATGATGCACCTGCATACAATGGACCATTAAAAATGATAGAGCAGGAAAATATTTACTGACATGGAAAGGGTCCTTGATAGTCTAAAAGAAAAAAAGTAGGTTCCAAATAGTATCTTCAGTATTCTCTTTTAAATTAAATAAATAAATAAATAAATAATTTATATGCAGAAAAGAAGATTTGATATATAAACCAAAAAATGGCTATCTCCAGGAGATAGGATTACTAGTGATTGTAACTGTCTTCTCTGTGCTTTGAAAAGAAACATTTGCAAATTTCCTATGTTGTGCAAGTAGTTTGTAATCAGCAAGTAGAAGCAATTCTACCAACAGTGGGAGATCGTGGTTCTGTTATAGTCTACATGAAATTGCAAGAGCAGGACCTCAGAGTACCTGCCACTATTTCACTTGTGCAAAAGATTGTGTAATTTCTTTTAGACCGACTGAGCCTCATTGGTTATCTTAGGAAACAGAAAAAAGTTTCCTGGGAAACTTTAAAAACTCATGGGAAGTAAAGAGGAAGCGTGCTCATTCCTGACTGCGGCAGAGAAAGAGGTACATACCCCTCTGTGCAGAGCTGTGCACCCCATGATGTCAACAGCATCTACATTCGCTTCCTTTTCAAGTAACAACGAAACAGCATCAATGTGTCCATATGCCACTGCCAGCATCAGTGGGGTTCTAGGAGAGAGATAGGTTAGACTTTTTAGAAGAAAATTAAAACAAAATGCTCATTATTTCCAGTGGAAGGCCCTCCTTCTCTTTGTCACTCTGTCTCTCTCTCTAATAATAAAAGCATAATATGCTAATTAGATCAGACAGCCAAAGGACCTTCTGGAAGACCTTCCTGACAAATCTAGGGCCGTGAGGGGCAAGCCCATTGCATGAATTCCGTGCATCAGGCCTCTGGTATAAATATGCATGTATCTTTCTGCCTCTGGCATCTAATGGCCACATGGAATGCTGTCAGTCAGTGGAATGACTGATACGGATGGGGCTGGGAAAGGCTCCTCAGGATGGTCACTGTGTTCCCATCATTCTCAGAAGCATTTCTAAATGCCAACCGAGCAGGGAGCGTGTACATGAAGGAGGCCATCTCGCTCCTATCAAATAATTCTACCTTCACAATGTTCTGTGTTGGTCTTTGCTCACTGTTTCACTTGACCAAAGCTTGCTGCCTTCCAGAAAAGCCTGGCAAACCCAGAGGAAGGAGCAGGAAGCCGGGGTCCAGGAGGGGGCGTCCTAGCTCCCACTACGACACTAACTCACATGCCTGGGTGAGGCACTCTGCCTTTCCTGCCTGTAAGAGAAGACTGGGGGCAGGGACAGGCTACCAGGTGGGAAGGACTTGGGAAGAACAAACCCAAGGAAGGAGGCACATGTGTAGGATTTTTATGAAGGAGGTAACTTCTTGAGGCCATTGCCATTATTAATATGAACATGAAAATGTAGCAGCTTCAAAAGAGGGTAAAAGAGATAGGAAGAAGGAGCCAAGGAGGAGGTCTGGTTTTAAGAGACCAAGGGACATGGCCCTAGACATACAAAGTTGGCTCTTTTTATCAACACACACACACACACACACACACACACACACACACACACTGCTCTTAGGTAGATTTTCCTAAGTCCCATTGTGACATTCTTTAGAGTTAGTAGAACTATTGTAATCATCATAAGCTGCGTGTCCTTCTCCATATGTTTCCCGTCCCTACATATATTCTGACACGAAGCTACCTCATTATTCCAGGGTCCTCAGCCAATGAATCTCACCCCAACAAGTACCCCACAACCTCAAGCTCGGCAGTCAGCCCTCTCAGCGGCTAACCCAACCAACCGCCGGCCCGGCCCAGGGGGCACACTTACTGTCCTTTGGCATCTTTCACGTTAACCACTTCCGGGTTGTCTGCGATTTCTAGTAACAGCCGCAGACACAGGGTGTGGCCATTAATCACTGGAAGAGAAAAGAACAGACATCCTGTTAACAAACCCACAGGACCACACACATCCCTCCAAAGTGGGGTCTGTCTGGGCTCTAAATCATCGGTCCTCGATCTGCTGTCCCGGGGCTGACTTTACTCCTCCGTCTTCTCCGTTCTCCTCAGCAGGGCACCCTGGCCCTCACGGAACTTGTCCCTGGTTCATGCCTTGAGAGTTATTTTCCTTTAAACACCATGTCTTTTTTTTTTTTCCCCAAATCTTTTTTTTTTTTTTTTTTCATTTCTCCCCACTTTGCAGTTCTTTTTGCTCTTCTGAGAGTCACACAATACTATACAATCCGGTGTCCTGCCTGCCTTCAGACCTTTTTAAAAAGAAGGAAGAAGGGACAGGAGAAGGGAGGGGGGAAAGAGAGGAGCAGGGACAGAATGGGAGGAGGAGAGGGGGAGGAGGTAAAGCAGAGGAGAGTGAGGAGAGGAAGGGAGAGAGCGAATGGGTCCTGCTACTATTTCCTGTCACTGTGCATTCGGTGGCAGGCACCTGAGTAACAGTTCTGAGTGACGAGCAGAGACTTACAGCAAACCCTCAGGCCCGGGAGGGGTACAGAAGCCCCACTCACTGCTCATTGATTAACAGCCTGGATGGGCTGCCTGCAGGGGCACCTCTGTCCCAGAGTTCCTCAAGCCACAGCCTGACTGTGTCTCATGCATGGAGGAGGAAAGGTGGGCGGAGAGGGGGTGCTCTCCACACTCCTGGTCCCCTCTGTCCCCTGCCCTCCCCTCCCTTCCTCTGCCAAGGTCTCCTCACCGCTGCCAAGGTCTCCTCACCGCTCCTCATGGGGTCCCCTCCCCTAATGACCAGCAGTCACAGCGAAGGCTGGCAATGGGCAGGAGATGCAGCCAGGACACTGCTGTTGGCCTCGACCATCTGGGGCACAATACATAGACACCCCTTATGACAGGGGCAGACACAGTATTGGGGACCAGCTGGAATGGTAAGAAATAGAAATCATGCCCTGTTAACCAGGATTGTTTTGTTCTGATTAAAGAAGGCACATTCTCACCTGGCTGGGGCTGCAGGTGGGACCTGGGTGCTCACCGGGAGATGCAGCCCACTCTCTCCGTCAGGAGCTGCCTATTCTCATGGAGAGACAAACTGCCTTGTTGCCAAAACCAGAAGCGCCAGCCCTTTGAAGACCCCAGCCTTTGCATGCCATGCTGCAGGCCTTTGCAAATCTCCAGCCAGATTGCATTCCCTTTCCCCATGTAAGCCTTGTCCTTCTTCCCAATATAAGCAGCTGGCTTATATGGGGCAGGGGAGGGGCAGAGCAGATTTTTGTGGGTGACCTGCTGCTCCCTCATGCTGCTGGCAGGATTGGAATATATGTTCACATATGATGCAACCCTCTCTCTGCTTCACCTGCTCAAGGAGGGACAGGCAGCCGGACCCCTTGCTGGTTACATTTACACAACCAGGCGTGATGCTTCCTGTGGGGGAGGGGGAGGGTGCTTCGGGTGCTGAAAGGTCACCCTCCCAGGAGGACAGTCGAGGGGAGAGGGGAGCAGCTCCCCGCCCCACCCCACCCCCGGTTTGTTGAATGCCACCCACAGCCTCACCCAGAGGAGGCTAAGGACAAGCAATGTGTGCATTTTCAATCGTCACTTTCTCTCCTCTGAGCAGTGAGAACACTGTAGCATGCATTGCATTTGCCTCCATGTGGATGGGGGAGAAGGGAAGAGATGTAGACTCAGCGACATTAGGTTAAAGAGGCATCCGAGAAGAGCTGCATCTTCCTACAGTCCTTCTATCCGATGCCAGTCAGGAGCGAATGCTAATTTAACAACGACACGTTTTTTCAGGGACAATACATATCAGAATGAGCTCATGTTCACTGACACCACTCCGCTGAGCCACAGCAGTAATAGCCACATTCTGCACACCACTGCATTCAGCTCGTTCTCAGATTCATTTCTGTATCTCAGGAGGAAAGCTGGGGACTGGAGTACAGGCATCGTACTGTGCTTGCCGTTGGGCTGTTTCCTTTGTTTTAAGGAGCGCATTCAACCTGTGACCACTGGTACCACCTGCAGGCGAGCGGTTTACGTGTGCTTCAAAGGCAGCTAAGTGCTAAGGCAACAGGTCCCCAACGCAGAGGGAGGCTCAGGGGAGGGTGACTGATGCCTCCTTCTTCATCAACCTGACACCCTTTGCAGGCTCATAACCATCATAGTTCCAAGGATATTTGATTTTTGGCTAAACAGAAAAAGGGGAAATCATCTAAGTTCCTATCCCTGGGCCAGTGTGTTGCAGAGCAAACCAATACCCACTGTGTTTATTGTTGTTGTTTTTTAGGGGACGAAGAGGGTACTGCAGCAGCTTTTTGAACTGAGCTAATAGCCCTCGGGTAAGCATAAGGCCCCTTCGTGGAAAAGCACAACAAAACTGGGATTCTTGTTGGCTCCCCACACTCGACATTTCCCCAATGGCTAACATCTCCTTGGCTGTGCAGGGTCAAGTCCAGCTTTGTCTGAGACTAGCCCCGCCTCTGCCTCCCTATGAGTGACAGCGACTTTCCATGCTGCTCAAAGACCACAACTGTCATTGCAACTAGCTGTGCCCAAACCTCTGATACCCGTTCTGGCTCCTGCGCCTCAGTATTCCCAGGGTGTGAAACAATAGTAATAAAAAGTTGGCCTTCCAAATGAGTTGGAAAAGATTCAGGCTAAAGCTTGCACATTGCAGACATTTTGTGGAGAACAGAATGGAATGACAGCCGGTGTTATCCAATGAATGATTTGAGGGAAATCCAAAAGGAGTGAATCGGCTTGACCACGAGGGGGCTCCATTGGACCACAACCTCTGCAGTGGCAAATGAGGGACCATGATTATTTTTCATGGTTCACTGTTTACAAGAGTGGTTCTCCACAATGAAAATAAGGCCCTTTGCCCTAACCGGTTTGCCTCAGTGGACAGAGCGTCAGCCTGCGGACTCAAGGGTCCCAGGTTTGATTCCAGTCAAGGGCATTTACCTTGGTTGCAGCCACATACTCAGTATGAAGTGTCCTGCAGGAGGCAGCTGATCGATGTTTCTCTCTCATCAATGTTTCTAACCCTCTATCCCTCTCCTTTCCTCTCTGTAAAAAATCAGTAAAATATATATTTTTTTAAAAAGAAAGAAAATAAGCCCTTTGTTATTGTCAGGAAGTCCCTGGTAACTAAGGCAGGTGCTTGCCTTAACAGTAGGTAGCCAACATTTTAAAAGAAATAAATTTGAACTTTAGAATAATACCAAGGATGTCTGGACTATCAAACTTTATAATGCTTTACAACATTACCAAAAAAGACTAAATGTGGGTACAAAATAAGAATTTGCAATTTAACCAACAACTCCTGATCTCATGACTAAAGTTTTCTTCCAGTAATAATTGTTACCAGGTAATTAGGCAACAGCCATATATTTTTTTTCCTATCTCCATATTGTTCTTCTTCAGTGGTTTGGAAATTCAGGCTTGTAGGTAGAAATACTTCTACAAATTCTAACGTTCTGAGAAAAATTTCCCAAGTAACAAGATTATTACATCTTCTGGAAAACCAGCTTTACTCTTTGCTTCCTCAATATGCTCATTTAATGGTGTCAGACAATGATTTCTCATCCTAAGATTATATTTATGATCCTGATCAAAGGCAGATATCATTGAATCCCTGACCCCAAAGGAAGGTATGCCTTCACTGAGCTAGAGGCTCTCCCTATAACCTTATATCTAGCAGGGCCCTGATACAGTTTGATTTTATGTGTATTAGAGAAAAATCCCAGAAAAGACAATTACCTCCTTTGTGATACCTACATGCACTTTTTAAGAGTATCTTTTTACACCCGAGACACCAAGAATTGGAGGAAAAACTCAAGAGGCATCATTAGGCTGCAGAATGGTGTGCTGATTAGGCTGCTGTCTGGTGACTTTGATGAAATCGCCCTGACATGTCATGAGTTTCCCACTTTAAAATGCTGTGTGACTTCGTTCTATGTAATTTATTTGGAGATCACATTGGGCCTTGCCCTTTTCCAGAAAGCTTTGCAATGGCTACTAGCCAAAGGCTCTGAACTCTCTTTTGAGTGAAGACCAGATGGAGCACAGAGGATTTTTAGAGCTGGATTCACAGTGTTGTATTCTGTACAATGCTGTAATAATACACACATATCACTCTACATTTGTCCAAATTCACAGGATGCACAACATCAAGAGCGAACCCTAATGTACACTATGGACTTGGGGTGGGGATGAGGTGCTGATGTAGGTTCATGAATTGTAATGTACGTACCACTCTCATGGGACGTTGATAATGGGAGAGGCCATGCATGGGGAGGGGGCAGGAGGTGCGTGGGAAATCTCTGTACCTTCCTCTCAATTTTGCTGTGAACCTAAAACTGCTCTAAAAAAAATAAATAAATCTTTAAAGGAGACGCCAGAGCTCATCTGGCCAGAGAACACCAATCACCTCAACATTGATAGGAAACCCAGGGTTGTGGAAGAGTATAGGCATACCTGATGCAGGAAGAAAACATTTTTGAAAATTGGGATGAAAGAGAATGCTGCCCACCTTTTACTCAGCTCACGAGTCGGCTAACCACTCTGGGCGAGACCCACCTGAGGCGTGCAGTGGGGTCCTTTTGGTGACGTCGTCTTTCACGAAGATGGACGCGCCCTGGTTGATGAGCGCTTCCACACATTCCGTGTGGCCCCTGAAGGCAGCCAGGTCCAGCGCTGTGCGGCCCTTCTCGTCCCGGATGTCCAGGTCCACCAGGGACTGCAGGAGCACCTCCAGGGCCTGGTGGTGCCCGTTGTAGGCCTGCAAAGGGGAAGCCGGTGACGCAGGTGCTTGCTCGCCTCGGACCCCACCGCTCCGCCAGGGAGGGGCGAGGCCTCCAAGGTCACAGACAGAGGCCACCCAAGGAGCACCTCAGACAGACACTCGGGATAAAGGAAAACACCGGGAACCAAAGAGTGAGATTGAAAAATCAAAATGCGTGAAATGCACGGCTATGTATGAATTCCTTCGTGTCCTTTCTCTTTGGTCAAAATAATTTGCCCCGGAGGCTTCGAATGTATGAATGGATTCATGTATTTGTATCTATCGATCATCTCACCCAATACAAGCCAGCAGCTGAATAAATTAATATATTCTTATATCTGCCAGGTCAGGCTAACCGTACTGAAATGATCAGAATCCCCCACCCCCAGCCCCTGGAGATTATCCTGCTAAACCTGGAGCAAAAGGTTACCAAATACACGTGTCTTCATAACTGAGCAGAGGCATATAGACCTTGCTGCGGTTGGATATTTTCATTTCTAGCCACGTGACCCTGGGCGAGTTTTTTAATTTCACTTAGTTTGTTTCTATAAAAGGAGAGCCATACCAGGAGCCTTGCAGGGAGAATAAAAAAAAGAGAGAGATAAAATCGCACAGGCTTTGCATCATACCATGTACACAGTTGATGCTTCCTCCTCTCCCCTGTACTTCCTCCATTGATTACAATGAAAACACAGACAGAAGAGTGGAGAAACGCTGTGTAGCAGCACCACGTTTGGATTCAGTATGAGGTCCTATGCTATGTTAAGGGGAAGAGCCTTCATACAAAAAAACAAAAGTCTGAAAGCTGATTTTTATCAAGTCTATGGGGTAAAAAACATCTCTGTACACACCAGAGAAAGGGCATTAAAATAAAGAAAAGGTGTAGCCCTGGCCGGTTTGGCTCAGTGGACAGAGCGTCCGCCTGCAGACTGAAGGGTCCCAGGTTCGATTCTGGCCAAGGGCACATGCCTGGGTTTCGGGCTTAATCCCCAGTAGGAGGAAGTGCAGGAGGCGGTCAATCAATGGTTCTCTCTCACCATTGATGTTTCTATCTCTCTCTCCCTCTCTGAAATCAATAAAAATATTTCATTTGTAATGGCAGCAACTGATTCTGACTTCACGCCCGGGGAAAGGACTCCACATGGGTAACAGCAGGCTCTAGTTGCCATTTGCAAATAGTGATCCTTCCGGGCCCATTACGACTTGGACAAAAATAGCAAACATTTTCACGTCTGTCACTATGACAGCCTAAGAAAACAGAACCGGCGATTCACAAAGCACATAAGCACATGCATGTCTATAAAGCATGACAGCGGACACGCTTAGATTTAATAGAGAAGACACACGACTCAGGAAGGCAGCCGGCTGGAGGCCTCGCAGGCGCATAAGCTGGGTGCTGTCAGCTCCTCTAAGAGGCCCTTTGAGCCTCACAGCAACAGCTAAACCCATTAACGTGTCCAAGCTAAAGAGGCTTTATGTCACAACAAAGCCGAGTGAACCCTGCTGGCAGTTGGAAAAGCTTCAGAATTCCATCCCGTATTTTCTTCTCTACCAGGTGCTTGAAACGTCCCTTCAAGACAGGATGGTTGAAAGTCTGAGTTTACCTACAGAATCCTGGTTTTGGCCTTCAGTCTAGTTCAGCGATTTTCAACCAGTGTGTCGCAAGAATTTTCAAAACATGCAATACCTGACTGCTTAGTCAGGGGCACTGACCTCTTTTCCCTTAGATTGTCAGATAAAAATACAACAGTAAACGCAACAAGAGCTATCCGGTGTGAGCGAATCAAATGCATACCTATTTTGTTGTTGTTGTTAGGCCATAACAAATTCAGAGGCCAAAAATACATCTGTGTGTGTGTGTTGCGCTGCAGAATTCTAGTAATTAGTTGGTGTGATTTCCATAGGTTGGAAATCACTGGCCTAGTTTCCAGCTCCTGAATTTTAGCACGCATATGCATTACAATACAGAACTGAAGAGTCACAGGGATGTACTGAACCTCAAAGGCAAGGGGAGGGGGGGGGGAGAATAAAGGTAACTGAGATTAGACCAGAACGTTCATCTATCTTCACACTTCATAGCTTACTCAACCTTATAAAATTCTCTTTGATGGTTAATGCATGATTCAGTCTTGAGACAACTGCATGGCGTTTGGGGTCTATTGAAAGAGCGTACAACAAAGCTTTAAGCTCCCTCAAAGAGACTCGGTAGTCAGCAGTACACGATGAAAACTGTCCTATTTTCCTTTCTATTCCCGTCATCTTCCACCAGGTGGTCAGTAGGTAATTCCACAAGTAATTTCCGAAATAACAAAAGGAGGAAGCAACGCACAAAAGAACAAACACGCTGGTTCACAAAAGCACGTAGTAAGTTGGCTTTCAACAGACAAATCCGGCGCAAGCCTTTGCTGCAGGGAGCAAACGTTTTAAGTCTGTTTCACGAAATTCCTTCCATCTCGGTAGGTAACACATATTTTCAGAACGTGATTAATTTCTCTGAACTTTTTCGGCTGGAACTGAGGACACCGAGGAGAAAGAAGTTGGGGTCCTCACAGAATCCACGCCACAATGGGTCCATCTGCACATCTGGGCAGCGGGAGCCCTCATTTGCATAGCTCTGCTTCCTGGCTTAATTTTTTTCTTTTTTCTTTTTTAAAAATATATTTTATTGATATTTTACAGAGAGGAAGGGAGAGAGATAGATAGCTAGAAATGTTGATGAGAGAGAAACATCGACCAGCTGCCTCTTGCACACCCCCTACCGGGGATGTGCTCGCAACCAATGTACATGCCCTTGACCGGAATTGAACCTGGGACCTTTCAGTCCGCAGACTGACGCTCTACCACTGAGCCAAAAACGGTTTTGGCATGGCTTAATTTTTTCAAGTGGCCGAAATTGCCTGTGAAATCCCTGGCTTGTCACCCTGGAGGCTGGAATCTACCAGGAGAGAGCCCAGGCTTTGCTTACGACAACAGCTCCAGCTCCTGGGACAGTGCTTACTACAGACACAGTCAGCACATGTCAATGGAAGATGGCATCATGTGAACCATGGGGAGGGTGACGCTGCTGATTGTGCACAGGCACCAGGCACTGTCTCACTGCTACACGTGTTAGCTCATGTCATTCCCCCAACGACCCTGGGATAGAGGTACTGCCATTCTCCACGTGTGGTGGGTGGAGAAACTGAGGCACAAGAGGTTAGGTACTTAGCCAAGATCATACAGCAAATTAATTAAGTTGGAAAGGGTTGGGGGACCCTTAACTAACTCATGCTTTTTAAGTTACTGGTGGGGAACCCAGGTCCAGGTGAGCTGCTAATGAGGACCTGGCGGCTGGGACCTTCTCGCTGCAGGCACTTCCCCGCCCGGCCAGCTACAGCACCCCCAAAGCCCACCCTGTCATCCCAGGACTGGAAACCCAGAGAGCTTAGCAGAGTACCAGGCATACAATAAGCACTGAACAATCCCTTTTTAAAAATGAATGAGACATTACCGCCATTTGTCCACCATCCAGAAATTAAATACCATGGCTGACATGTACACATAAGGAACTATTTGACATTGAAATTGGGTCTCAAAAGAACTGTTGGCCCAGAAAGAAACTCATTACAGACTGATTTATATGCCTTTCAGCGTAACGATTATTGCTAGTCTCATTTTCGGTTCTTGTAAGTATATTTCCAGTAGGACATGATCTTACTCATCTAGGAGAAATGGTGAACAACATAGACTGATGAACAAGAACAGACCCACAGATAAGGAGCTATGGGTCAGACTGTTGGACCTCAGAGTGGGGGTGGGGATAAAAGGGAGAAATCAACCAAAGAACTGTGTACACACATATGAGCCTAACCAGTGGTCAAGGACAATAGGGGGGTGAGGGCATCGGTGTGGGGGGAGGAAAGGGGCAGGGATTGGAATGGGGGATTGAGGACAAATATGTGATACCTTAATCAATAAAGAAATTTTTAAAAAATGAATGAGAGATGACTGAATTTCTAGAAGCTGAGAAATCCCTTCTCAGATAGAAGGAGGCTTGGCGGTGCACTCAACCCCACTCTCAAGGATTCCATCTGAGGTGCCCTTTCCAACAGGCCTCTCGGGGCGGCTAGTGCTGTCTGGGAACCCTCAAAGTTGGGGTAACTGCCCCAGGCACAGCCGATGGTGGGGCAGAGATTTCAGAGAGCAACCTTTAGAGCAACCAATCCTAAAAGCCACCTGCTGTGAATGTTTTTCATGTAAACATCCCACCACCCACCCACCTTTTCCATTCCAATCCGTCTCCAGGAGCAAAGACGTATGCACATTTTAACCTGATTTCACTGGACTCAGCGTGTGTGTGCTCGTATGTCAGTGGGTGTGTTGGTGGGAGTGACGGAGGGTGGTGAGGTGGGTGTCAGCGGAGGTGCCTGAGCCTTTACCGGGCAGTTTTCATTGTCAGCTATCTCTGCACGACTGTGCTTTCGTTGTAAGAGTAGCCTGGTTTTAGGAACGCTTTGGTTCTTCCTGTAACAAGCGAAGTTGCCCACAGAATCTCACTTACAGCCAAGTGGAGCGGACTCTTGGTACCACCCGGATCTGACTCTTCAAAACCGCCGTTGGTTCTTTCCAAAAGCTGTGGAGAGGAAGGAAAATGACAGGACGTCAGTGCAGTCCGCAAAGGGGGTCCTACTTCATGGGTGCCAGTGGGAGCACAGTGAGGACGGTGTCAGGGACTGAAGACATTGTGCAACTTATCCACAATGGAAGAAACCTGATATAGCGCGTCCAATCAGACCTAAGATAGCAATCCAATCAAAGACGCTGAGGTTTCAACCTCTAGAACAGTGGATCCCGACCTTTTTGTGGCCATGTCCCACCTAAAAGCATCTCTAAAATCCTGATGCCACCCCTGTCCCCGTGACAAATAATTCTTATTTTTTAAAAAGTGAACTCCTAAAAGGCCAGTAACTTGGTCTAAACAAGCTTCCAAAGAACATGGCTTTCATGAAAGAGAAAAATAAAAAACAAAAGGACAGGTGAAGCACTGAGGAAGAAATCACTAAGGAATTATTTAAAAAATAATAATAATATAAAGTGAAATAAAAAAACAAATAAAATGTCAAAATATATAATAGAGAACTGAAATGCATAAATATGTCACAATATATATTTATACTAGAAGCCTGGTGCATGAATTCATGCATGGGTGGGGTTTAGCCAGCCTACCCTGATAGGAGCCGACTGGGCCAGGTAGGCCAGGGGGAAGGGCCATGGGCAGTTAGTTGGCCAGCCCCGCCTCCTAGTTGAACTCTTGGTGGAGGGGACAATTTGCATATTAGCCTTTTATTATATAGGATACACACTGAGTAGCCAGATTATGATGTTCAGAGATCATCATAATCTGGCCACTCACTGTATATTTCTGGAGAACAGCCTAGAAAGGTCCTCTCTTCTGGACCTCCAGCAATCCAGTAAGCATCTATCTTTAAAAATCAAATCTTTTTCTGCTCAAAATAGCCAGCATGGTTTCTGTGTCCTTCGACTGAATCCTGGCCGATTCAAAGAGTAATGGAGATTGTTATAGAACTTGTGCTAATGGGGGTGCGAAGGGGAAATCAGACCACTCTATACAATGGAAAGAAAAACTTCCTAAAATTCACGTTCCCCATTTTTCTCCCTGAAAAGCTCAAAGTTATTGGGGGGGGTGGGCGGGGGAGGATGATAACATTTTCAATTTTTTTTTTATTGCATTGGCATGACTACATATGCAGAGAAAAAGCCTGGACATACATACCCTACAATGAAGAGCACAATAACCTGAACGTGGGGTTATATTGGGTTTTTGCTTTCTTTTTTATTTTTCCTGACCTCACTTCGCAGTGACTGTAGTTTCCATAACCAGAAAAACACTAAAGCTCTTTCTATTCAGAAAAAAAGCCATTAACCTCCCTTTTAATTTAACAAATGGTGCCCACAGACCCTCAGATCATTCAGAATTCTTCTCCAGTCAATGCACGTGGGGGAAAAAATGTTTGGAGTCTTTGGTAGATCAAATAACCGTGTAAAACATACCATCTAAAAGCACACCATTTCAGTATTGCAAATAGTACAACACACATAGAAATGGCGGGTGGAAGAGACATTTTATGTTTGCTTTTATTCGTGTGAGAATAGAATATGGAACTTAAACAATCTAAGGTATCGGGTCTAGTAATAATTAATGTCGTTTTTAAACATTCGTTTAAAATCTTGCTTGGCGTTGACTTGTATTGACATAACCTTCAAACACGTGGTATCTACAGAACGTGTGAAGTGCAATTAACAAGTTTTGCTTGAAAAAGTTTGTTTGGTTTGGTTTTTGTTGCAAAACTAGGGCTAAGAAGATGGCGGATGAAGAGCATATTCGGCACTGCATGCTTTACGAGTTCCAATTAGGAAGAAAAGCAAGTGAGGCTGCAAAAAACATCTGTAGTGCTCTTGGTCAAGATGCAGTTAGCGCCAGAAAATGCCAGCGTTGGTTTGAGAAATTTCGCGAGGGAAATTTTTCATTAGATGACAAGAGTGGTTGAGGCCGTGTGTCCAATTTTGATCAAGAAGCTCTTCAAGCTCTTTTGGTGCAAAATCCTCAAATTACCCAACAAGAGCTTGCAACAACTTTAAATTGTTCACAAAAAACAATTTCCAAACAATTGCGTGCACTTGGCAAAGTCCAAAAGTTTGGAAAATGGGTTCCTCATGAGTTGACCGACAACAACCGTAATCAGAGTCACAATTTGCAGTTCGCTCCTCTCTCGTCAAAACCGTTTGCCGTTTTTAGAGCAAATTGGTACCGGAGATGAAAAATGGGTGCTATATGTTAATTTGAAAAGGCGGCCTCAATGGTTGGACAAAAATGAGGCTCCGCAGCCCACGCCAAAACCTGACTTGCATGCGAAAAAAGTGATGTTGTGTGTTTGGTGGAATTTTAAAGGAATTCTTCATTATGAACTTTTACCATCTAACCAAACCATTACAAGTGCAGTGTATAGTGCCCAATTGGAAAGGTTAGCCCAAGCTTTAAGAGAAAAAGAACCCGCGCTGATTAATCGGAAGGGCGTAATTCTTCACCACGATAACGCACGACCGCATACTGTAAGAATCATTGCTGAAAAACTGCGCCAGTTGGAATGGGAAGTTCTCCCTCAACCTGCATATTCTCCTGATATTGCCCCTTCCGATTACCATTTGTTTTGTTCTTTGCAAAACTTTCTTCTTGGAAAAAAATTTAATAAAGAAGAATGCTTCAAAAATGCATTGACCGAATTTTTTGCATCAAAATCACAAGAATTTTACAACAGAGGGATTAAAATGCTTCCTGAGCATTGGGCACAAGTAGTAGAAAACAACGGCAACTATATTGTTGATTAAATTTTGTTGTATTGTTTAAATTAATTCGATTTTTAAAAAAGGTATTAGAAACGACATTAATTATTACTAGACCTAATAGGTTGGAATAATGAGAATACATTTAATTTTAACTTCAAAGCAAATAACCTTAAAACCAATCTGAGTTGCAGAGTGGAAATAAAAGTATAGCTTTAACGGCTTGCAAAGGCTAGAAAACAGCTGCTCTTTTGCTTTGTTCTGCAACATTATCATCTGCAAGACTTCCTGGCATTGACCCAGCGACCCAACTCCAGATCCGGTCCTGGAGTGAATGTGCAATCAAAGGAACGCAGAGCCATTTCCACCTTCTCAGCCACACGATGCAGAGGCAAGAAGACAATACACGGCTTACAGCCTCACCTCAGGCATGTTCCCCGAACACTGGGTATGCAAAAAGCACGTGATGTTCCGTGGCAATCACTCACCCGGTATTTGCCGAGAATCCCCGTGCAAGACTCTGGGTAGGCATCGGGATTCAACAATCAAGAGAACATACGTGGCTGCTGAAGTGAAAGGTGGTGTGTGGGTTCAAGAATTTCATTCGGCCTTTACTCATTCATTCAGTCATTATTTACTGAGCACTCTGCTAGGCACTGGCATGATCAGTCCTAAAATGGCCCCTGACCACACACAGTGTATAGTCCAGGGGCGTGATGGATGACTCAAATGTGTACCTCCAGCGTGGCATCACAGGCTGCCGCCAGCACAATAAAGAGTGTGCACTCATTTCAAGGATCGAATTGGCCTCTGCCTAAACCAGTTGTCGGCAAACCACGGCTCCCGAGCCACATGTGGCTCTTTGGCCCCTTGAGTGTTCTAATGCCACTTCTTCAAAACAGACTCTCCCAGGCCGAAAACCGACTTCTGCTCATGGGCCACGAAGTTTCCATCGCACTGTACGTGTGCGCCCGCATGTGGTATTTTGTGGAAGAGCCACACTCAAGGGGCCAAAGGGTACCATGTGGCTTGAGAGCCGTGGTTTGCCAACCACTGGCTGAAAACAGCTGTTCAAATGGCTGCTTCCATAAAGCCTTTCTCTGGGCTACTTCACCCCTCGTCACCTCCCAACCCCAGCATTGCTCCTGTTAGCAAGTGGCCAACCATTTATGAAGCTGGTCTGCAGAGTGTAGCCCTGCCTGCCCCACCTCTCCTGCACACCCTCCTCCTACAACAACCTGCATTCTTGGGGGCAACACCAGAAGGGCTGGGATTCAAGCCATTTCCAGCCCCCCGATGGCAAATCATGACGGACCCCTGACAGGGCCCCTGAGAGAAAGTGGCGGGGGCGAGAGCAAGCAGACCTCCTGAGGGTCTTACTGGTGAAACGTGCACTCCCTGGTTCAGTGCCTGCGGAGGGCTCCGTGGAGGGAGAGGCGAGGGTGCTCTATAATTCTGGGGCCTGAGAAAATGATTGCACTGGAGACCTGAACAATTTACAGGACATTTTCTGAACCTGGAGGGTGTTCCTACAGGGCTCATGGGCTCTCCCAGAGAACATCTCAAGGTCTTAGATTTAAAAGCAGCAAAGACACTCTAGTCAGTTTGTCTCAGTGGACAGACCGCCAGCCTGCAGACTGAAGGGTCTCAGGTTCGATTCATGTCAAGGGCACGATCCCAGGCCTTGGTTGGGGCTCCTGTGGGAGGCAACCAATCAATGTGTCTCTCTCACATCGATGTTCTTCTCTCTCTCTCTCTCTCTCTCTCCCCTTCCCTTCCACTCTCTCTAAAAATCAATGAAAAAATATCCTTGGGTGAGGATCAACAACTGGGAAAAAAAATTAGGAAAATAAAAGCAGCAAAGGTCATCGAAGGCCAAGTTTAGGGCTTTCTCTACACAATGAATCTGTGATAACAAAATCAAGGATAAATATAAACTCAATGGTAATCCAGTGGCCAGTGAGTTAAAAAAAACAAAACAAAACAACAATGATCTTGTCCAAAACTGAGGAAACATAAATATTGCACTTGAACTAGGAACCCAAGCTTTCCAACTAGTAGAGTTTATGCCTGCCTATTTGAAAACACGGCAGGAAAAATGCAGGGATCCCGAGAGACTTACAGCTGATTTAAACTAGTTTTTCTGTGTGCTGCTTAGGAAAGCGGAAAGCGAGCATGGCTCTGCCAGTACGAACAGAGGCATGTAGCCAGCGTGTCTGTGAAGCAGCCTCTCTCCCATTGGTTATGGCCAGACTCTGACACACACGTGAG